TCTAAATAACAATATTTCATAACAATTATCTAAAGCACATATTACGAAGCATTTACATTTTCGAAGAATATACTCGAGTCAACAACACATCCATAGATAAAGCAAGTGCATTCATGTATCAGGTCTGATAGCCAAACATACATCACATGGCAAAATATTTCGGCTTTCATTTATCACAGACAAACTTACAGTAATTCATGTTTTCAATCATAATATCAACCAAGGAAGCAAACAACAATCATACAAATAATTTAGCACTGAATAAAGTGACACACCTCGAGAGATAACTAACCACCATGGTTTTCAGAAACGGATCGGTTAGCGAACCGACTATATTATCGGTTCACTGGTTCAACGGTCCGACCAGTCGGAAGGACCGACGACGTCATAATTATTTAAAAAATTAAATAAAAATACCAAAAATGTTTAATAAAAAATAATTTTTTATATCACAATTCATATTCAAAACAAGTCATAACATATACAAGTTAAAAACCATAAAATCAAGTGAAACAAAATGATTCAAATTAACTACAACATAATATTTAAGGTAAAATATATTAAATAATAAATATAATTATATAACTATAATTAAAAAATAAATTTGGGGCTAAAAAAATCATAACAAAATGATATTGTTTGGTTTAATTTTTTTAAAAACAATCTCACATGGCTAAGAAACATAAAAATCATCCAAACTAATTTATATAAATAATAGAGGTAATTTGACATTCAAAATCATGGAGCCTTTTGGTAAGCATTGAGTGAATTATTCTCACTTCAATCAAGCTCGAATTTTAGGCTTCAATCGAGCTTCAAATTTTTTTTGAGTTCAAGCCTTTTCGAGTTCAAATTTCAATATTATATTTCGAGTTCGAGTGAAACTTCATAATTTTTAGCTCGTGAGTTTGAATCGAGTTGAGCTTACTTTTAAATTTTTCAAGTTCGAGTCGAGCTCAGCAATACTTGAGTTCGACTTGGCTTGTTTAACAAACGACTTCGTTTGGTTTAATTTTTTTAAAAAAATAAATAAAATTGGAGGTATTTTCTTGTTTTTTCCGGTTTTCAGCCGGTCCTATTTGAACGGTTCAGCGGTTCTGACCGGTTCACTAATAGATGTTCAACTGGTCTAGATTGAACCGGACTAGACAACGATTCCGATTGAACCGGTCGATCCGATTTTCAAAACAATACTAACCACGGTGATAACTTTTATCATGGTCAGCTTAAATAGGAGGTCGATCCAAATCAGTACCTAATTAGTTTAAATAAATAATTTATTCTAAAATTAACTATAAAATTAACGTTCAATAATCTATCAGTTAACACTCACAGTCGACACCAGATAAACGATCACTTCAAAGTTCGAGTAACGGTGGCGGAGGCGGAAACTCGGTTCCCGGATCAGAACTTACTGTAAAAATCACAATGTCTGATTTCAGGTTCCAATGACAAACTTCAGAACTTAAATAATAATTTTACGGTAACGGAAATATTTTTCTGACTCGAATTAGAGAACCGGCAGTGGAGTTTCGCTCGAATACAGATGCTGCCAGTATGGGAAAAGTGGACTTTCGGTGAAGAGGGTATACCGGAAAAAGTCCCAGAGGGCCGACGAACTCACAGCCACGCCCGCCGTGGCCTTAAACGGTTGGCGGTGCTAAAGGGGCATGTCAGTTTCGACAGTAGCAAAACAACTCTCCCACCAACTGGTGGTGGCGACCTCGACGGTGCATCGGCCCCACCAGTCCTCTCGCGACGACCGATCGATCACAACCCATCAACAGCCGGAAAGAGGCCGCGGTGGCGTTAAGAACAAACCCGAGAACTCACGGGTTTCGCAACCCAGCATAGTTCAACGACCACGGAGAAACATGGGCTTATAGGTGATGAACGGCGCCCTTACCGGAAGCAAATCGACTGCACGACGAGTTTAAAGAGTGAGAAGGGAGCGGCGGCGTTGAGGGTTAAAAGGGTTAAAATCGGGGATGGGATGCCGCACACTTTTAAAACGGGGAAACGGATGATACAAAGGTAAAATTGGTTTAATTTCAGAATTGACACTACATTTTCTAGGGTTTTGCAAATGTCTTATAACTTTCTAAATTTTCACTTTTGTCACTGATTTCGAATTAGGAATTTAGGTAAAAATTTCCCCATTACTAGGGTTTTAAATTGGGGATTTTTTAGTGTGTTACATCAAGGCAACCTTGAATTCGTCTGATAGAAGAGGTGGTTTAAGTTCTACACTCCCTTGCAAGGATTTCCAAGTTTTTGTCTTTGATTTTTATATTCGGGACATGGGATTTCATGGTCCAACTTTTACTTGGTCCCGGGGTCAGACCTTTGCTCGGCTCGATAGGGTGCTGTGTAATATTTATTGGGATGAGGCATTCATGGAATCTTTGGTGGATCATCTTCTTCGAGTTCGTTTCGATCATCAGCCTTTATTACTTGAGATAGGCACTACTATCAAGAATTTTGCTCCTCGCCAATTTCGCTACATCTCAAGCTGGCAATCCCTTGAAGATTTTAGGAGGATGGTAAATGAAAATTGGCGCCACAATGACATGCTCTCGACCAATATTGCAAACTTCACGGTTGCGGCTGAAAATTGGAATAAGTTTGTTTTCAGGTACATAGGTGCAAAGAAGTATATGGTAATGGCTCGGTTAAGGAGTCTCCAGAAATCCCTTTGTGTGCGAAATTCTCCTTTCCTTAATAATCTTGAATCTGACCTTCTCTGTGAGCTAGAATCTCTTCTTGACCAAGAGGAATCCCTATGGAGGCAACGGTCTCGAGCATATTGGATAACCTTTGGAGATCACAATATTAAGTATTTCCACCTCAAGGCAAAAGCTCGTAAACAACGCAATCGTATTATGGCTCAAAAACTGGACACTGATGAATGGTGCTATGATCCGAATACTCTTAAATGTGAGGCAATTCATTTCTTTAAAAAGCTCTTTTCAAATGAAATAACAACTTCTGGCCGCTTTCCTTGCACTGGTATGTTTCTTCAAATACCTCCTGATCACTTGGAATATTTCGATAACATCCCTACACCTGAGGAGATACATGATGCCTTATGCGAGATGACTCCTTTGAAGGCCCGGGTTACGATGGCCTTCACGAAGATACCAAAAACAATGGTCTGTAGTGGGTGACTCCATCTGCTCCTGTATCCAAAGCATTTTTAGTGGCGGGACTCTGGAGTCTGATTTAAATAAAACAGTCATTGTGCTAATTTCAAAGACTCACAACCCCGAAACTTTCATGGACTTTCGCCCAATCAGCTTATGTACCGTGATCTACAAGCTCCTCACTAAAATATTGTGGGAAGACTGAAAAGTAATCACGTCACGCATCATCTCGCCAAACTAAACGAGTTTTATCTCTGGTCGATCTATTATAGAAAATATTATTCTCAATCAGAAGGTGATTCATTCTATGCGACAATTGAAAAGTAAAAAAAGGCTGGATGGCAATTAAAGTTGACCTGGAAAAAGCATTTGACACTTCTTTGGGACTTCATCCGAGACTCCCTGAGTGAGGCTGGCTTTCCTCCAAATGTCTCTACTTATAATGCTTTGTGTCACCACTTCATCTTTTCAGGTTCAATGGAACAATGAGATGTTTGAATCTTTCAAACAAGAACGCGAAATTAGTTAAGGCGACCCACTTTTGCCATACCTATTTGTTTTGGCTATAGAACGCTTGAGTCATAGCATCTTATACTTAACCCAAAAAGATGTGTGGGAGCCTTTCAGGTTCGTTAAGAATGGTATACCTTTCTCTCATGTTTTTCGCAGATGACTTAATTCTGTATGCAAGGGCAAATGTCAAAAATGCGAAAACCATCAATTCAATTATGGATTGCTTCGGTTATTTCTCGGGCCATAAAGTCAACAAGAGGAAAACTACAATTTTTTTCTGTCTTAGTAATGATGCCTCCTTCAAGGATGTCATTAGTGTGAAACTGGGGTTTTGTTAAGTGGAAACATTAGGAAACTACTTGGGGGTTCTTGTGCGGTACTGTCGGGTAACCTGTGCGGATTATGACTTTATTCTTGACAAAATGAGAGATCTTCTGTCTGCTTGGGCTTCTCGATCTTTATCCATTGTAGGTCGCATCACTTTAGCAAAATTTGTTCTTGCTTCGATTCCTATTTATTTCATGCAATCTGCAATGATTTCAATTCAGGTTTGCAATGAAATTGAGAAGTTAATCAGATGCTTTATTTGGGGACCATCTACCACAATATCTTCCATTTCCTTAGTTAATTGGGAGAAAATCTGCCAGCCGCTGAGGAACGATGGCTTAGGCCTACACCGTGTTCGTGAGCATAACCAAACGCTATTAATGAAAATTTGCTATGCTCTAATTAGTAAACTGGATGATTTTTGGATCTGTATGGTTCGACAAAAATACAAGATGCAAGAACTTTTTCCTCACTCTATTCAAAGGTCTGTCAGCTCTCCTCTATGACTCTCTCTCTAACATATGGAGCTTTTTCGATCAAATGTTGTATGGTATTTTGGCTCGGGTGCTGGTATACAGGTGTGGAATGATGTTTGGGTGCCGACAGTTGGTCCCCTTAACAAGCATCTCTTGGATTCTGTGCAAGTCATCCCTCAATGCAGTCTTGCTGACCTTGTCGATCAGAATGGCGAATGAAATATCAAGTATCTCAAAAACTTCGTGCCCCAACAGATTATACAACATATTATTGGACTAATGCCTCCAACGTTGGGTGATGCCCATAATAGATGCATATGGAGGTGGGGCATGTCCCATGAGTTCACTGTTGCCTCTGCTTATGAGTCTTTGATCTCCCAAACTTGGTCTGATCGCAACAACATGTAGAATCGCATTTGACAATTGCAAGTGCCACAACGGATCAGAGTGTTTCTTTGGATCGCCCTCCATCACCGCCTCATGAAGAACCTTGAAAGATCAAGAAGGAATCTTGCTGCTGAATCTTCTTACTCTATGTGTGATGACCAAGAATCCATACTACATATCTTACGTGATTGTGGAGAAGCAAAACAATTATGGACCAAAATCATTCCACCCGAATGGCAGGTTAGTTTCTTTGAGTTGGACCTTGATGGTTGGTTAATTGGTAATATTGATCAGATGGCAACGGCACATCCTTGGAATGTGCCTTGGCACTTCATCTTTCTATAATTGGTGTGGCAACTGTGGAAATGACGGAACAATTATACTGTCAATCAGGAATGCCATTCTACGAATGAAGTTTTTAATTGCAGTCTAGTGTGGGCAAAATACTTTCAGAACTGTAACATCCCTTGCATTGCTGCCTCGCCAAAACCACTAAACCATATTTACTGGTCAAAGCCACCGCATGGATGGGTCTGTCTGAATATTGATGGTGCGGTCTTGGTAACCACACTACGAAGTGCTGCTGCTAGAGTCTTGCGAGACTGAAGGAAACTAGATATTGGGTTTTGCTCTCTCGGTGGGTTATTGCCCTCCGCTTCAAACGGAGTTATGGGGAATTCTTATCGGGTTGAAACTAGCGTGGGACAATGGCTTCGAACGCGTTGTGATACAATCTGTCTCAATGCAACCAAGTTAGTTGAGGCTATGGATGGTGTTGCTGTTTTTTCAGCTTTACTGCGTGCAATACATGGATTGAGAAGCAAGGCTTGGGATACTGATATTCAATGGATTCCGAGAGAATGCAATAAGGTTGTGGATGCTCTTACACGGGTGGCTGATCATTATTCACTGAATGTCATTCTTTTTTATGCTGCCCCTCCTGACCTCCTTGCCTTACTGGATCGTGAAGTAAATGGCTCCCTATATCTATGAGACTAATTGTTTCCCTCCCTTTCAATTTAAAAAAAATTGGTGATACCTGAACATATAAGTGTATTGGAAGAAAGTGAAGACATCTCTGTGGAGTTGCTCTCCCCAATTTTAGCTATTTTAAAGAGGGATAATGAGGTATGTCACACTTATTACTACTTTTTACTTATCTTCTACTATCGTGTTTAGTTCCCATTGATCTTGTATTTCCTCTCAGGACACGCTTCCTGTTGCTCGGAGGCTAGCAGAGAAGGTGCTTGAGAACTGTGCATTAAAGCTGAAACCTTACTTAACCCAAGCTGTAGAGAGCTTGAGCATTTCTTTTGATGATTATAGTAGTGTAGTTGCTTCTATATGTGAAGTGGCACCTAGTTCTTTGGATCAGAAGGATATTGCTGCTGAAAAATGTGGGGTACGTTAACTTTCTTCTTTATGTCTTGTTCATTGAACTTGCACATAATTTATTCTCCTTTCTTGGGTGAATTTTCTGTAGGATGATGTGAACAAACCAGTAGAGTCACCTTTGGATGGGACAACCCAGGCACGTTTTGTTTCATGTTTTTATAATCAATTGTCCAAATTTATATGTGACTGTGTGTGCGTGTGGATTCTAATGCTTCTTCTTGTTGTTAGAATATAATACTGAAAAGTCATCACGTATAAATCTTCAAATTCCCTTTCAGGGGGATAAATAAATTCATGAAGAAGCAGTTTCTACTGAACAAGTTGATCTTGCAAATGAAAATTATCCCAAGTCAGTTGTTAGCAATGGCACAGTGCAAACTGCTGAAGACAGCTTATTGACTGATTCAAACACCATAAAGAACCAAGAGGATGACCATCTTTCTGATAAGTCCAAGAATGCTGATACATCAACTGTTGCTGGAGCTGCTAGATTGGAAGCTGAGAAAATGGTCAATTCAGATTCTAGGTCAGAGGAAAGTACCTTGGAAACAGGGAAGAAATCTGATTCAAAATCAACAGAGCCTTCTGACTATGTTAATGTCAATGAGAAGGAAGCTGAGACATCACTGGACCCTAAAAAAGACTGCAAGGATGACGGTGGTTCAATGTGTGATGATATGTCTGTTGATGGGGATGTATCCTCTGAAAATAAACAAGAGACAGATGCTCAGCCTTCCTCACCAAAGTCAACTGAGGACTGTACTAACGTTGCTTCCGCAACACCAAGTGGGACTATACCTGATGAGAATCATTCCGGAAAGGCTGCAAAGCCAGAAAGAAAAGAGGGATCGAGTGAGGAAACCATGCCTTCTGTCGATGATGTCCCTAAGGTATCTGAAGGGATGAGTGATTCAGAAGTAAAAACAGATAGGCAATCACGGAAAAAGGTTGCCACTGTGGCTTCCAACAAAGTTAATGATGCTGTTGATGTAGATAAAACTAAGAAAGTGGCTTTACAAGTGGTTTAGAGGCTAAATCAAGGATAAATTCTTGCAGTAAAAATTTAGATGTGCCCTCTTCAAGGCAGCTGGAGGATAAGAAAAGGCGAGCTCTGGGGAAAGTTATTCCTGAGAAAGATGGAACAAAAACATCAACCATGAATGATAATGAGGTGCTTAGATTTTGGCTTTTATGTTAGCTATTCTATCAACGTTGTTTATTTAAAGCTTCACTATTTATTTATTTAGCTGTTCTAGATCCTAGGGAATCATTGATGTCTTGCTATTTGTTTAGGAAGTGGTTGCTTCTCCAAAGTCAGTGAAGCCAAATAAACATGATTCTCATATGGAGGAGAATCCTAAGTTCAAAGAGAAAGCATACCCCAAACAAAGAAAAAGTAAGTTTCTCTAGGTGCAAGTGTGTTGAGATTGCATTTTTTTTTTTACTTTTGTGTGTCATTATAAATACTTAAAGACGATATTTTGGTGGTGATATGTTGTATTTTTGGTTGGTTGCGTTTTGAATAAAGTTAGGAATTATAGATGATCTTTATGAAATACTTATGAGTTTCAACAACGACAAAGATTCCCCATTGTCCATTCTAAGCATTTAATTTTAGTTAACCTTTCTAAATTTTTTCATTTTCCTTTTCATCTATTCTCCATCTTTTATAGTACTTGCCTCATTCTATCTATTCAGGACCTATTATTTTTGTGTTTCTAAAATGCTTTTCCCTTCTAAAATGATGCCTATCTAGCAACAATGCAGCTTCTATACTTTCTTTGAGGTCATTTATCTTTCAAGAGGCTTTTGATATTTAGGGTTTTTCCCTTGGAACCATATTCCTACATTGTTGATTTTATTCCTTTCTAACAAGTACCTGTTCAATGGTTCTGGTGCACTAGTATTGCATGGGTGTGGGTGCTCAATTTTATATCTCTCCCTTTGCTGTTTCTTGAGATCATAATTATTTGCCTTTTCTCTTGCTTTATGGAAAGATTTTGGAGGTTATAAACTCAATTAACATCGTATGGAGTTTTGTAAATCTTTTATTTGACTCTTTCCATACAAGCTGCAATCTGAACAAAGCTGAAACAATGATATTCCATATACCTCTTACACGGACACTTGATTTTTCTCTAACTTCTTTTTTTCTTCAGGCATCTGATTTTATGGAATTTGGTGATAATCTGGTTGGTCTGAAGGTGAAGGTCTGCTGGCCTAAAGAACGTGCATGAGTATAATATATCTGCAGATCCTTGTTTTATATTTTACAAGTTTCACAGAAGTGATACTCTGGAATGGAAATTATTTGTTTTCCTTTCTCTAATGTGTATACGTGGGTATCGGGTGCCCATTTCTAGTTTCCTTGCATGTCTTGGCATTTACCTTATTCTTGAACTATGGTTCAATTTGTTTCTGCCCTTATGGATGCTATTCTTTTGTAGGTTCTATGAAGGTGTTGTTCATTCGTTTGATGCAGCTAAAAAGAAGCACAAGGTGACACTTAAAATAAGACTGAGGTTACCTTTTGTGGGAGGTTCTCTCTTGTAAATATTCATGCAAAAATGTGTTGAATTTCTTTTATCATTTTCATTTTTCAATAGGTGCATTGTGACGATGGTGATACTGAAATTTTAAATCTTAAGAGAGAAAAGTGGAAGGTAATTTAAGACGAGTCTGAACCAGATGAGGTGGGTAGTTCTCTAATTTATAGATAATTAGCGTTTACTTGTTTTGCATTTTAGGTTGCTAATACTTCATTGGAACAGGAAGAGGCAGCTAACCATTCAAGTCCTGATTGTTCATCTGAAATGTAAGCGATTCCTTTCGTGATTCTTTAATGTTAGATTTGACTGCATCAGAATCTCTGTTCTAGATGGTGTCTGTGTGTACTTTGGCATTGCATGATTTAACTTTATGCTGATGCTATCTCCATTCTTTAGCAGTGCGATTATTACATTCGGTATAGCTTTCCATTTGCTTGTTGGGGCTCTTTGGTCTGTTTCTGTCTTCATATTATAGTCTAGGCTTACCTTTTTTCCCCCCTTGTTTTGATTTCTATGGACAGGCCTCAGAAGAAGAAAGCAAAAACAGATGATCAATCAAGCAAGAAAACTAAGATGGATGTTTTGCCAAAACGGTTATTACATTCTTTCAAATGGAACTTTTAACATGGTTCTTTCAATGATTTTTGAAAATCTTCATTATTTTGGATGTCCAGGGTGGAGGAACTTCGGTCGGAAAATCCAAGATTGCTACCACAAAGTCTGGTCACAAGACAAAGGAAGACAGTAAAGAGGATAGCAAATCCAAAGATGTCCCCAGGAGTGTTAGTAAATCAGACAATAACAGTGTTACTAAATCCAAGGATCATACCACCAAAAGTGGCAGTAAATCAGTTGATGCCGCTTATAAAATAGGCAACAAATCCAATAATGAGGACAGTGGTGAGACGTCTAAGTCTACCAAATCCAAGCATGATGGAAGTGTTACCCCTAAAGCTTCCACAAAGTCAAAGCAAGACACTTCAAAGGCATCCAAGTCCAAGCAAGAAACCCCTAAGATTTCCTCCAATTCTAAGGGTAAGCCTCTTAAAAGCGGTGGCAAATCTAATTCTAATTGCACCGGTAAGTTGAAATCCTGTTCATCCGAGGTTGAAGAAAGTGAGAGCATGAAAGAGAACTCCACTGATTCAGAAAAGGTTGTGGAAAGTGCGAAGCAGAAATCAGAGAGTTCGACCAAGGCACATGCAAGTGATGCCATTTATGGAAGAAAGAGGCGACGATGAGCTGAAAATACTTCAACTCCAATGTCATTGCCAAGGTCTGGTACTTGTCCAATGTGGAATATAATGGTTGAATGCTAGGATTTTATTGCAGCCTTAGATGTGCTAGTGCCTGCATTCACAGCTAGCTAACTAGCTAGCCATACATTGGGTAGTTGACCAAGTTGTTAGAATTAATTCACTCACAGTTAAATGTAGTTTATAGTTGTTTATAGGGTGGAGTTTATTCTTTTTCTGTTGTATGGGGTACTGTGTAGAATGAATTCCTGTTATTCAAAATTGGGATAGCCTTTGATTACATTTACAGAGTTGCTTCTGTAGATAATGTAATTGTGTTCCAGAAACTGCCTTCTGTTTCAATAATGTCTTGTTATGCTAATGGTTGCATATTATTATCATGCTTGGACGAATGAATGTTATTAACGGATTACTATTGGTTTCAAATCTCGTTAAAATATCGGGTAATTTTTGTTTTTATCCTTCAATTCTATCACTAGAACAGTATTGAATTTGAGATTTACATTGCAATATGGATTCTGAATTTTATTGATAATGAGTTCGGAAAACAAGGCGAATCAATGAAGAAACAAATTCCTGAAGATAAACCAGCTCTGTAGGTGTCTACAGAAGTCAAATTTTAACTATAACTGAGCTATACATGTCCATGATCAATTAATTGAATGAAATAAAGATAATTATGTGTTTCTATTTATATCAATTGTCTCTATGGTAAGAGTTTTCCTGAGATTCCGTTTTGTCTGCGGCAGCTCCAAGTTTCATTACCAGTGCTCCAGTGGCTTCTTTTCTCACTGAGCACCCCCGTCCCGTTTGAACATGTTATTCAATTGAATTGTAGACATCTAGTGGAATCCTTCAGCACCATCATATCCTATATTCTTCCCCGGATTCCCTTACGTAGCCAACCTTGATTCGAAAACTACAACTCCGTAACATTTTAACGGGGGAGACGCATATTTTGTTCGGAGACTGCTGGGGAAAGGCACGTCCGCCAATGTCTACCATTGCAAAGAACTAACGACAGGCGGTGAAAGTCATAAGCAAAGAGCAGGTGGGCATGATGGAGCAGGTCAAGAGAGAAATCGCAGTCCTCCGTCACCCCAACATAGTCCAACTCAAACAAGATCAACGTCTTTTTCGCATGGAGTACTTCCGTGGCGCTGAAGTCTTTGCTAAATTATTCAAAGAAAGACGCTGCTCGTAACTACACCCAACAACTCATAAGCGCCGTCGATTTTTGCCATAGCAGAGGCGTTTATTTGAAGCCTGAAAATCTTCTTTTAGACGAGAATGAACATCTCAAGGTATCGGAATTTGGTTTATCAGCTTTGCTGGAGCAGGTTTGTAACGATGGAGTGGGACACCGGCTTATGTTGGCCCTGAGGTTTTGAGACAAAATGGCTACGATGGTTCCAAAGCTGACTTTTGGTCTTGAGGGGTGGAATAAAATCCATGATTATGGACACAATTATAATGTATATATTATCATATATTATGAATAAATTAAGTGATCAATCATTTTATAAAGTCATAAGGTATTAGAAGTGTCATAGAAATAAAAATATAGAAACTGTTAAACTTGTATTTATAATTCAATGAGGGGTAGAGTTACAAGTATAAACAATAATTGATTCTTAAATAAATTATATAAAGGTGTTATGTGTTGCGGAATACGACTATCAGATAGAGCAAAATCGCAACTGATAATTTGAGAAAATAAAAATGAAAATAAAGAAGACACGAATTTTACGTGGAAAACCCTTAAATAATATAGGGTAAAAACCACGGGCAACGGTAGAATAATTTCACTATGAGAAAATAGGAATTACAATTTCTCTCAATCTAACAAGGAGAAAACAATGATAATTCTCTCTTGATAAAAAGGAGAAAACAACTCTCAAGAAAACTCTCTAAATTCTCTAGTATTGGGAGAAAGCTAGATGATTTTGGATGGTTTTGAAGCTAAATGGGTTAGGGTATTTATAGTTGAAGCTTAAGGACTAATCTTGTAAATATCATAAAGTACAATGACTAAATTATGATTTTACCATTTTCCAAATTCAACTAAAAACCAACTAATTTTCGGTGCCCCATTTTTAATTCATTTTTTTTTCAACATGCACTGAAAGTGTATTAAGACTTTTCAACAATCTCACACTTGAAGATTTGATTGGAACAATCATATCTTCACACCATTCTTTCTACCTTGTACCATCATGTTGCTTACGTTTCTGACAAGCCACAAGAGGATCGACACCAGTTAAATTTATCATCATTGATTGCCTTCGTCATGAATTCTACTATGTTGTCTTTGGTATGGATCTTCTGCATATCTACCATCCCTTCTTCCACCTTTTCACGAATGAAATGGTACTGAACTCGTATGTTCTTTGTCCTTGAATGAAATGATGATTCCTTGCTAGATGCAAGGTGCTTTGACTGTCACAAAATAGAGAGACATACTCTTGATTGTGCCCAAGCTCCTCCAATAACATCTTCAACCAAATTACTTCTTTACTGGCTTGTGTAGCTGCTACATATTCTGCCTCTGTTGTGGATGTAGCCACAACTGACTACAATTTTGAAACCCAACTTACAGCTCCACCATCAATTTTGAACACATATCCTGTAGTAGATTTGCTTTTAACTAAATCCATGCATAGTCAGAATCAACATACTCATTGATAAGTAAATTTGATCATCTGTAACATAATGCAACATTTGAGGTCCCATTGATGTATCTCGGGATCCTCTTTACTGTATTCCAATGATCTTTTCCTGGATTCGCCATGTACCGACTAACTACTCCAACTGCTTGTACAATGTCTGGTCTTGTGCATGTCATAGCGAACACTAAACTTCCCACTGCTGATGCATATAGTACTTGAGACATCTCAATCCTCTTTTCTTCATTGCTAGGACTTATACTGGAGGATAATTTGAAGTTAATAGGAATAGGGGTAGAAATTGGCTTACAATCTTGCATGTTGAATTGTGACAAAATCTTCTTCAAGTAATTCTTTTGTGAAAGCAAAATCTTCTTATTACTTCTGTCTCGGTGAATTTACATCCCTAGAATCTTGTTTGTTGATCCCAAGTTCTTCATTTCAAATTCCCTAGCCAGTTTCCTTCAATTCTTTAATATGATCTTTGTTGGGTCTTGCAACCAACATGTCATCCACATACAACAACAATATAACAAAATCGTTATCACCAGACCTCTTGAAATAAGCACAAGGGTCTGTATTAAGTCTGTTGTATCCAAGGCACATAATGAAGGAATCAAATCTCTTATACCAACACATCGGTGCCTGCTTTAGACCGTACATAGATTTGTTCAACCTACAAACCAAGTTCTTTTTTTCTTTTTCTTCAAAACTTTAGGCTGGAGCATGTAAATCTCTTCTTCAAGATTTCCATGAAGAAAAGTTGTTTTAACATCTAGCTTCTCTAGATGTAAGTTCAATGTAGCACACATTGCCAAGACTACTCGAACTGTTATTAGTCGAACCACAGGAGAAAACATTTCATTAAAATCAATACCTTCTTTTTGAGCATATCCTTTGACACCAGTCTTGCACGATACCTCTCTACTTGATCGTCACCATTTCGCTTGATTTTGAAGACCCATTTGTTACCAATTGGCTTCTTTCCTTTTGGCAATAGCACAAGGTCTCATGTATTATTTTTATGAAGGGCTTCAATTTCTTCTTGCATCGCCATCATCCACGTGAAGCATCTGAGCTGTTTATTGCCTCCTGGTATGTTGATGGCTCACCGTCCTCTGTTAAAAGCCAACATGCAATATTTCCTTCTATAACATAATCTGAGTGCCAATTGGGACGTCTTCTCACACGATCTGATTGACAGTTGTTGGAGCTTCATAACTCTCTGTTCTTGTTCATCATATGCTGGTTCCACTTCAGAAGAATCTTCTTGTTCAACCTCCTTTTCCACATGTATATGTGTAGTCTGTGACTTTTCAACGCTACTATCTTATTCTTTTCTTTGTAGTTTATCCTCTACAAAGATAACATCCATGCTGATGATTACTTTGCGGGCAATGGGATCCCACAAGCGATACCCCTTTACTCCATCAGCATACCCCAAGAATTTGCATTTCCTGGATTTTGGATCCAGCTTTGAAATTTCTTGGGAGTTGTACATCACGTGCAAAATGCTTCCAAATACATGGAGGTTTGAATAATCAGTTGGTTTACTAGTCATATCTCTATTGGTGTCTTCAGCTCTATTGCAGTTGATGGAGCTCAATTCACCAAATAACAGGCGGTATTGACTGCTTCAGCCCAAAATGATTTTTCTAGACCTGCAGCCCTTAACATTGCTCTTGTTCTTTCTAACAAGGTTTTGTTCATCCGCTCTTCCACTCCATTTTGTGGAGGAGTGTTCGCCACTGTGAATTGTCTTTTGATGCCTTTTTTCCTGCAAAAGTCATCAAATTCTTCACTTGTGTATTCTCCTCCATTATATGTTCTGAAACACATGATCTTATTTCCATAATCAAGTTCCACCCATGCTTTAAAGTTTTTGAAAGTTGAAAACACATCTGACTTCTTCTTAATAGGGTACACTCAACATCTCCTAGAGTAATCATCAATAAATGAGACAAAGTATTTTGCTCCACGTAGGGATGTAACTGGTGCTTGCCATACGTCAGAATGAACCAATTCTAGAACACTTTTACCTCTAGAATTTGATGTGTTGAATTTCAACTGGTATTGCTTACTTGTTATGCAATGCTCACACAAAGCGAGTGATACCTTTGTTAAGCCTGGAAGTAGCTTTTGCTCCACAAGAACTTTCATTCCTTGTTCTGACATATGTCCAAGTTTCTGATGCCATAGCATTGCAGAATTTGAACTACATGAGGCAACAGAGGCTTCTGCTTCTAGCAAAGTCTCTCCCTTTATCATGTACAAGTTTGCTTCTATCTTTTCGCCTTTC